ACAAACCCTGGAACAGGTGTAAACGTTACAGTACTAAAAATAAACCTACCCATTCGTCCACAGAGAATAATAATGGATTAGTTGCATTGCCAAGTTTTGAACCATAAACGACATCATCTCGGTTCATTTCCAGAGTCGTAGAGAAGGACGCTTTACATGTTTCTCTACCATTTCTGTAGTTTAAAGGAAAATTAAAGTGTATTTAACTGTTTTTTAATAATTAAAATAATAAAGACAGAAAATCCATGAAAGAATAAATAAAAGAAAGAAAAGTATATTTAGACTCGATTCTTTACCCGAGAGATACGGTGAGCACAGGTTTACATAGTTTAGTACAGTTACTGCCAGTCACATCCTGACAACATGATCCGTCTTGGAGTCTATTTCCAGGGATCTGTACTTCATGTACGTGTACATAGAAGGTTATCCTTCCCAGCACAATCTTAAGTAAGGTATGTAGTTAAAAATTGACCCAACGTATTTCATCAATTATTTAATAATTATATAAAAACGATACTTATTCCTGGACTTTAATCTCAATGTCTTATATTAATAATTTATCCTTGTGAAACGAGAAGATTGCTATCAGTGTAATAAAGGTGATAATAACAACAGTAGTCGTTTTCAAAAACCTATACAAACATAAGTACAAAAGAAAAGTTAAGCGAACACAATCTTAAGGCCACAGAAGGAAGATATGACCATACAGATTATTTGTTAGTTGGCCATAATCGTCTACAGTCGGTAAAACATCGAAGTATAAAGCAGATATGGCAGACATAGTGTTGTCTTTTACGTCAAGCTCACTGGGAAATATCGAGTCGAAATGATTTTTATGTCCCCGTAATCAAAGATTCGGAAAAGCCCTGTCCGTCCGTCTAGCTGTCTGTTTGTCCGCAAAAAACTTTAACCATACCCATAATTTTGATTTGTTGGAGCTATATCTTTCATATTTCATATATTGTATCGTATATTTCTTGTGACAATAAAACCTTCTTTTGGGTTTCAACATATTTGACCTCTTCACTTTTGAGTTTGACCCACTTTTGCAAAAACGTACCCAACTTAAACCTTGGCCATATCTTTTGAAAAGTTGAGGCTAGGGTTTTCATATTTCAAATGTGTATTCATCGTGACAATACCTTTCCATGGGTGTAAATATTTTTGACCTTGACCTTAGAGTTTGACCCAATTTCGAAAAAACTTAAACCTTGTCCATAACTTTTGAACAGTGAGTACTAGGGCTTTCAAATTTCACAGGTAACTCGTTTCTTTTGATACCAACAATTTTGACCTTTTGACTTTGACCATGGAGTTTGACCTACTTTTGAAAAACTTTAACCTTTGCCATACTGTTGAACAGTTGCTGTTGGGGCTTTTAAATTTTGCATGTGTATTTCTTATGAAAAGGTCTTCCCTGCATACCAATAATTTTGGCCCTTTGACTTTGAACTTGGAGTTTGACCCACTTTTAGAAAACAGTAGCCTTGGCCTTAATTAACTTTGTTGGTGCTTGAAGTTTCATTTACCAGGTGTATCTATTGACACCAGTCCTTTTATTGGATAACACCATTTTTATCTCTTGACCTTGGAGTTTGACTTGCATTTGAGAAAGTTTAACCTTCGCCCTAAGCTGCTATAAGTGGGCATCAGTGTTTCACAAACACATCTTGTTTAACCATGTTTTTATTTGAATTCTTTTGACCAATTTTGACTTATAACAAATATGTATGATGTTGATACTAGTAGACATATACCGGTTAAGAAAATAAGAAATTTACTCGACAGTAAAAACCTAAATTGACTGTAAAAATATTTCCCGAATAGAAAATTAGAATGGCTTAAATCTTATATACAGCGGTTGAGGTGGATAATAATCAAAACAGAGAGGCAAGGATAATTTTATCATGATCATATTAGATCTTTTACTATCAAGAACAATGCATGTTGATGCCAAAAATTCAGTACGATGTATATATATTCCTAAAATTGGGTCAGGTTTGCACACGAAAATACATAAAGACAAACATTAAATACAGTATTACAAAATCCCCTAACTTCTGTTTCAGTAGACATTTATGATAAAAGGAGTAAGCTTTTGAATGAGTCCAGACGCCTTATTTTCAAATTGATGTACAACTCTGTGATCGTATTTCAATATTTTATTTTTCAATGAAAAGTACTATCTTACCTGAGTTGCAAATATACATAAAAGTAACGGAATTATATACAATGAATCAGCCATTATTAAGTAGTAATGGGTTATCAACAAGTACAGTTAACAAATTGAGATAAAACGTTGATTACACGCCTTAAGCAAACACACAAACGTCTTAATATTCAATGATATTGGAAATGAGATAAATAAATATCATTGTAACTGTAACATCTACGGAGCAGCGTTAAACTTTCATGTAGAAATGTTGATACATAAAAATCATATCTTAACTAGAAAATGAAAATACGAAATACCTTTGCTATAAACATATATATTGTATTTTTAGCCCATCAGTAACATATACTTAAATGATTTTAACCTCCCCACACTTTGAAGCACATAAGTTTTTTTCTTATTCATCAGGTTACGAGTTACCCACCATGGATATAAAAATAAATGTAGCATATACGTAAAGCAGAGCACGTCACGTGTATATAAGCAAGAGACATTTGAACATGTCTCTAGAAAACCATCTGTAAAAGAAACAATATTGCTAACGCACCACTTCTTATTCTCGTTTGTTAATTAAACATTAGTCTATAATCGACACTATAGTATATCTAATATAAATATGCTCTTTTACCAGATAAAGTGGAATTGACGGATGTCTTGGTGTCATGACAAAACCCTTGAATAACCCAAAAACCAATTTCCCGACGTGCACTGCGCAACGTTTTTGCCTAAATATGAAGTTGGGGATTACCGATGGTATTCAGTGAGGTTGCAATAAAAGAAGCCTCCTAGTACAAACTTAAAGAACACAAACACAAAGAAAAAATAGAAATACATTCCTCCAAAAATTGTGAGAACGATTTTTATTTCTTTTCTATTAAATAGTTACACCATAGTTAACATTGTGGCTGTTTATCTATTACTAAAACATTTAAATGCCTCATTTTTTTTAAACTTTGGTAATATGTTTATTTCATATTATATTCAGACAAATGTACCTCAAAAACAAGTTTGGAAAATAAGATATTTGTTTCTTTGGTGGTGCGTTAGCAAGTTTGCCTAATGTTAAATTTTTGTCAAGTGCAAAAGAGTAAATAATTTTAAAATTCCAACCTTTTTAAGAGTTCAAATATCGAATTAGTGACCCTTAGCGAAAAAAAAAAATATTTCATCCGATTGTCAAGCAATGTTCCATCTTAAAGTTGAACACAACTCGTAAATAGACATACGCCATATTAGTTTTCTGATCTCTTATATCAGAACTTGGATATATAAATCCTTCGTATTCGTTACATCTGATTGCTTTTACCTGGTCACTGTGGGTCGTAGTTTATGTACCTCACGTTGTCCTTTTTGTTAAAGTTTAAACTTAACGTGCATTTGTGCTTTCGTTTCACTTTGTAATGGATTGATCTGCATGTGCAAATGATATCGAATATCTTCGGTTATTTTTTACTGACGTGGCAGAGGCATGCTCTCCTAATTCATTTTTGTCGCGCTCCATTAAGTATATCACAATGACAATGGACGAAACGTACGCTCAGAAAAAATCTGTGAAGTGAAATACATTGAATAGTGAACAAAAGTTTAAATAGCGCTTAAATAGGGGCTTAAATAGGGGCTGAAGGAGTGTATAGGATAGAAATATGGCGGACAAAGATAACTCTCTTTCTTTTACTAATCGCATTTGAGGTCAGTGAGTATGACAGTTATATTACAGTTCTTCTCAAATAAATAAACAACAGTTGAATAATTAGCTTAAATTTCAGAGGAAATATAGTGGGTTGGTCACCTGATCAAATCAGCAGAGACATGTTTATCAACCGAATGTATTCCCTCCGTAAAATGTTTGGCCTTGTTATTTATTTCAATATAATTCTGATATATTCGAAGCTTTTCTCTGATTTGATATAACATTTGAAGACGCCATATAAACTTTTATATTCAAAGAAGTGTGGTGAATAGACTACCGCCTGTATCCAAGTTCGAAATTCCATTACGTGGATCATACAGAAATCGGTATAACAAAATGATTTTTGATGGGAAAAGATGTTTTTCAAATTTTAAGTTTTTTAATACATACAGTATGACAATGACATATAGAGTTTAAAGAATTTAAAGGAGGTACATAATATTTGTGTTAAGCGAACACCCTGTGTTGAAAAACAGCAATGTAAATTTTTAGCAGCTCTTTTAGGAATATTATTCCCATGTGCAACACGCGTGGCAGTCTTTTGCACTTTATTTAAATAAAAAAAAATTATATTCTGGTATACTTTATTTATCCGCTACATGTAGATGTCTTATCTCTAGATTTCAGCAACAAGTTACGTCTGACAATATGCTTGAAAATTCAACAAAACCGTACGTTCACTGAAAAATAAAAAAATAAAAAGAATTACAATTATGGAAGAAGAATAACTAGCATAATTCAATGATATTATGATCTCAAGTTTGTGACAGAAAAAAATACAATAAAATACATAACATCATTGTGACTTTTCTGTTCTTTGGAAGAAAAATCATTTAAATTTCTAAACTGAAAACTATTTATTAGCAATACTGTAGATTCCTAAATATACGCGAGGAATTAATTATCGCGTAATTACGCGAGAAGCACCACTCGCGAAATAAAATTTCTCGCTTTTATTTTTATGGTGCTGAAATCAATGTAAAATCCTTTGATCAACCGTCCATTCGCGAATTATTGATCTCGCGATTTGACGTGAAAGAGCCATTTCGCGATAATAAGTACTCGCCAAAATAAGGAATCTACAGTATATCTGATATGACCGAAGTATATAATACAAAGTTTGGCATTTACAATTACCTTGGATATATCTTTAAACTCAATGGAAAAATTGTTGGTTTTCCTGGGTAACTACAAAATTCTTTTGAGACTAACGAGTTTAAAATCGAAGAGGTGTCCTCTAGCTTTATAGTACTGGGTGAATACGGTATCTTAACACTGTTGATCTGTCTTCCTGTAAAAGTGAAAAACTATCTTGCGTGCATCATTTGAAAGGACTGTTCATATCAATCGAGAAAAATATAAAAATCCATGCAGATCAACATATACTCAGATTTGTTTGAAATTACGTCTCCTTGAAAATAAGGAGACATACTGATTTTTGCATAGTTTACTTTGGTTGTACTTCAGTCTGTTTGTCTGTAAAAAAATTTTTTTGTGCCGATTCTTTCGGACGTTTGACTGCAATGAATTCAAATTATACTGTTGTGGGTGACAATAGGTTTCCTCCTTGTCTGTATGCCCCTCCCTCTGTCTGTCCGTCCGTCCCATTTGATTTCTACAAGCTTGCAGATATTGAGCTGATTTTTGGTATGTATCTACTTTGCATTTTCTTCCGCTTTGAAGAGAAATGATGTATTTCCGGGTTTTTCAAATTTTTATGGGGAACCAGATTACACTTACCAGTAGGATCCTAGTATTGCTCATACAATACTCTCAGAATGCTGGTTGTAAGGGGGTTGACAATCTTGACTCAGGATCTTACGTCATAAGTCAACATCACTAGGATAGCAAATAATGACATTGTGTTCGACAAAGAAATAATAAATTGAATTAAAACCTAAACATGATTCTTTGCAATAAAGCCGGGGACCTTCAGTTACCTCAGACTATACATAGGTCAAAATCCCATTACAATGAGATGTTGAGATTTAATAGAAGTAATTTGAACATTCGATGAAAATCTTTCAATATGTAGATTATTGTTAACCATTGGATATAATAGTTTTTTTTCTTTTATTCAAGGACGTGTTTTCTCACAAATATCTTGTTAAATTAATTATAAAAATATATTTCTGGGGATGATAAAAAGACCAAGATTTATAATATAATGATTCCAGAACATTTTTTCAAAATTTTTTTTCACAAAATCTCGTTAAATTGAGAAAGAGTCGAATCTTTTGATAGAATGCGTATTGTAAAACTACTGACATTGCAAAGCGGAGTGTGCTTTATCATTATTTCAATTATCCAATTGCTATAAACAGTGTTCAAAACGTATCAATACCATATATTTTCTCTGATCTTTACATTTGATCTTTCTTAGTGTCCACTGGCATTTACATATAAAAAAGAAGAATGAGACTTAATAGTGAAATATTTTTAGATGAATCTTCCAGTAATTTACAATATGAATACTGTCTTTGACCTTAATTTGTCTTTCTTTCGAAGTCACATAGCATCTTTATATCAGGTATGAAATCTAAAAGTCAAATTATAATTTTTAATTATGTCCACGACATTTGTTCAGCCGTATCAGTGCCACTGACTTAAAATATCTCTTCTCTGGACATTTTTCCATGAGAAAAGATTGAATCAAATTTGAAAATTATTATTCATAAATTTTCCGCAACATTTACACATTCTCATGCAATTAATATTATCTATCGCTACATTATTGTAAGTAAATTTTATGTAGATACAAATACATGTATTACAAATACAGCAGAAGTAAATATTTACCTTTCCAAAAGATTGCCCTGCGTCTCCTATCATTCCAAACACACGTATATCCGCCATTAGTATTATAACATGTTGATCTTGCAGGGCACAAATCAAAAGCACACTCATCCATATCTCGTTCGCATGTTTTCCCGACGAATCCTGCATGGCAGTGACAAAGAAACCCGTATGGCTCCGAAGCGCAAGTTCCATTATTCAAACAAGGATTGGATGCACAGTAATCAATGATATCACAGTTTTTACCCATAAAGCCACGATTACATGAACAATGATAGCCTGAATCATTATTAATACACAGTCCACTGTTGTTGCAAGGATGAGAATGACAATAGTCATATAACTGACAGCTACTCCCTGTCCATTGCGCAGGACAGGAACATGAATACGACGCATTCTGATTAATACAGATTCCACTGTTTACGCATGGCATATTGTAACAAAAGTCCTGTTTTTCACATTGAGTTCCTACCCAGCCTTTTGGGCATTCGCACGTAAAATTCCCTTTCCTGTTGCGACATACTCCACCATGAAAACATGGAGAGGAATCACAGTAGTTGTAATTCTCACATTGTTCACCGTACCATTCATCTCTGCAATGGCACAAAGAAGATGTATTTGTATTAACACAAGTACCATTATTAAAACAAGTAGTGAATGCGCAGTAATTTCTGTCTTTACACATTGGCCCCGTCCACCCACTAGAGCAATTGCAGATGTAGTCCATTCCATTTTCTATACATTGTCCATTGTTATAGCATGGGGAACTTTTACATGGATGATACTCGCAAGCATAGGCTGTGGGTGTGTTGATGCAAATTTCCGAGGAACTACAGGGATTATTGTAGCAATAGTTTCGTTGTTGACATTTAGGGCCTGTCCAGTTTATTAAACATTTGCACTGTGGACCAGTTGGGGTATCAAGACACTGTCCCCCATTTAGGCATTCAAAAGAAGAACAATCGACACAATGATAACCGTTGATTTTGTTAATGCATGTTGTGTTTTGAGGACAGAGACCAAGAGAACATTCGTCGAAATCCTGCTGGCAATCAGTTCCAGTCCATTGCACAAGACAGACACAATAGAAGGACCCGTATGTATTGACACAAGTTGCGCCATTTTTACATGGAGAAGATAGACATTCATTAACATCAGCGTCACAGTGACGCCCAGTAAACCTCCCGTCACAGGTGCAGTAAAACGTCTCCTCCAGGTCTATGCAAGTGGCATTGTTTTTGCAAGGGTCTGAAGTGCAGGATTTTATATGTTTTTCACAGTGTCTCCCTGTCCAGGAATCTGCACAATTACATGTATAGTTTCCTTGAGAGTTTATGCATGTTCCATGTACTCCGCACGGAAAATATCTGCATTCGTCAACATCTTTCTGACATGAATCACCTTCCCAGAATTCAGAACATATGCAAGAAAATGTGTTTATACCATCGACGCATGTTCCGTTATTTTTACATGGATTTGATAGACATTCGTCAATATTTTCCCCGCAGGTTAATCCACTCCAGCCGTGTTCACATACACAAGTATGATTTCCGACATTGTTAATACAGTATCCGTATCCATTACAAGCGTTCTTGTTTAAACATTCGTTGACATCTTTTTCGCATCTTCTTCCCTCCCATTCTTTTGGACATTTACATTTCGCTACTGCTGTTACATTACTATACGATTGAATTCCCAACTTGATTAAAGACAATGGATCTGAAGCAACTGCTTTGGCCACTAGGTCGGAAGAACATAGGCCACCGTTTTCACACGTATAGTTTTGACAAGGGTCTGGGATGTCACAATTTTCTCCCAACCAACCTTCTGTGCATTCACAATGGTAGTTTGAATTGAGTGCTGAACATTTTCCATGATAACTGCATGTTATATTTTCACAAGCATTTATCTGGCAATCATGCCCTGTCCATTGGGACTCACAAATACAGTGATAGGAATCAGGATAATTATGACAAGTGCCATGTGATCCACATGTTGTATTATAACAATGGTCAGAAATATTACAAGAACGACCAGTCCAACCCGAGAAACAAGAACAAGTAAAATTGGACTCATTTTGAAAGCAGTTTCCATTCATGTTACAAGGGTTGTCCAAGAAACAAATATTCCTCTGTGTACAATTATCTCCAGACCACATATTAGAACAATTACACATATAATCATTTAACGCCAACATACATGTCCCATTATTTTGACATGGATTCCCGAAGCAGAAATCTGTAACATTGCACTGACTTCCAGTGTAACCCGGATGGCAGAGGCACGTGAAGTTATGAAATTCATTTCGACACTGTCCATGCTCTCCGCAGGGGTCTCCATAGCAATAATCTATGTCAGTACAATTCTTACCCACCCAACCACTTTTGCAACTACATATAAATCCAGAATCATTGTTATTGCATAAGCCATGCTCTCCGCAGGGATGGTTAAAGCAGTGATTCACAATCTCACAATGGGAGCCAGTTAATCCCTCTGGACACTCACATACATACCCGTCGCTGCTTTCTTTACAAATGTGTGGAAATGTGCAAGAGTCAGTTTTACAAAAATGAGTAACATTGCATGTTTTTCCGAAATGTCCCTCTTCGCAGAGACATAGGAAATCATTTTGTCCACGGTAACACGTCCCATGCCCAGAACAGGTGATATTATGACAATAATCAAAATTTTGACAGTCTGGGCCAGACCATGCTTCAACACACTCACAGAGATAACCGCGATAATTGTTTTCTGGATAACACTTGCCGTGATTATTACAAGTAGTCAAACTACAGCTCTTTTCTCTCAAAATAGTTGTTGTTTGAAAAGAAATGTCATATGTGAATGGTGATGAGGAAGCTAATGTAGTGGAAAGAGGATTACAAGATAGTCCAAAACACCTTTCACATTTCTCTCCATAAAACCCTGAAGGACATATACATAAGCTTGTGTTGTCAGACATATTGTATTGACAAGTTGCATTATTCTGACAGGTATTGTTGAAGCAATGGCTTAACTCGCAATTTTCACCAAAATAAATTTCCCTATCACATTTACACATGTACGAGTTCCGATCGTTATAACAAGATCCACGTTTAGAACAGTCCTTATTATAACAATAATCAACTACATCACAGTTCGAACCTGAATATCCTTTACTGCAATAGCATTCATATCCACTGCCTGTGTTGTTGCAGTATCCATGCATACATGTATTAGTATGACAATAATTTTTTGTTTCACATCTATATCCCTGATACATTGAAATACAGGAATCCTGATTCTTACAAGGGTTACCTGAGCAATAATCATGTTGACAATCACTTCCTAAATAACCAAGATTACAAGTACAAGTGTAGTTATGCTGACCGTTATGGCAGGTTCCATGTCCACTACAGTTCTGATGGTAACAATAATCACGTGTTTGGCAGAACGATCCTTTAAACCCGGGAGCACATTTACACGTATAGTTAGAGTGTCCATTAACACAAAATGCTCCATTCCGACATTGATGATGAGAACAGTAAGTTTGTTCACAGTCTTTACCGTGGTATCCAGCCTTACATTGACACGTGTAAGAATCATGTCTGTTTTGACAAGTTCCGTGGTTGGAACAAAGCTTGTTATAACAATAATCCCGGGTTTCACAGTCTTTTCCCATAAATCCACTGTTACAGGTACAAATGTACGCATTTCGTCCGATGTGACATGTACCATGGTTAGAGCAGTGCTTATTATAACAGTAATTTATTACATCACAATTCTTTCCTAAATACCCTTCGCTACAAGAACAGTTATATCCTGTGTTTGTGTTGGTACAGTGCCCATTTCTGCATGGATTACTATGACAGTATTCTCTCAGTTCACAATTATTTCCTCGATAATTAGTTTGGCAGGCACAAATGTATCTACCGTGTCCATTGTGACATGTCCCATGACCGCTACACCTCTGTCCGTGGCAATAATCACGTGTTTCACAATGAGTTCCTATATAACCAGGTTTACACGAACATGTATAATTAGAATTTCCAATATGACAAGTAGCACCATTTTGACAGGTATTATTAAAGCAATAGTCATATTCACAGTTCCTTCCTAGGAAACCAGGATTACAATTACAAGTGTAACTATGCTGACCGTTCTGACAATGTCCATGTCCACTACAGTTCTTTCTGTTACAGTAATCAACTTTATCACACTTTGTTCCAGTAAATCCGTTCAAGCAAGAACAGTTAAAGCCTGTGTTTAAATTTGAACAGTTCCCGTGTATACATGGGTTACTCTGACAATAATTATTCATTTCACAGTTCTTACCAAGGTACTGAGACCTACATTGACAAGTGTAACCATGTCCTCCATTTTGACAAGTTCCATGTCCACTGCAGCTGTGTCCAAGGCAGTAATTTCGTATTTCACAATGACGTCCCATATAACCACCAGGACAAAAGCATGCATAGTTTGTTCTTCCACTTTTACAGGTACCATGATTTTTACACGGGTTACTAAAGCAATAATTATGTTGACAATCACTTCCTAAATAACCAGGATTACAAGTACAAGTGTAGTTATGTTGACCATTATGGCAGGTTCCATGTCCACTACAGTTCTGATGGTAACAATGATCACGTGTTTGGCAGTAAGATCCTATATACCCTGGAGCACATTTACACGTATAGTTAGAATGTCCGTAAACACAAGTGGCCCCGTTCTGACACTGATGATGAGAACAGTAACTTTGTTCACAGTCTTTACCTAGAAAACCAGAATTACATCGACACGCGTAGGAATTATGTCCATTTTGACAAGTTCCGCGGTTAGAACAATCCTTGTTATAACAATAATTTTGTGTCTGACAGTCTTTTCCAATAAATCCACTATCACATGTACAGGTGTAAGTATTTCGTCCGTTGAGACAAGTACCATGATTCGAGCAGTGCCTATTATAGCAGTAATTTCTTATGGAGCAGTCAGGTCCTGTATATCCAGTACTGCAGGTACACACGACCTTTCCATGGCTCACATGACATTGGCCGTAATTATAACAAGTATCACTGTGACATTGATGTGCAGTTAACGATTCACAGTTTTTACCAGTTGTACCATTTTTACATTGACATGAGTAACTCCCGATCTTGTTGACACACTGCCCTCCATTACACGGCTCTAGAAGACATTCATCCTCATCCAGCTGACATTTCAGACCATAAACAGAGGAAGGACATTTACAATGGAAACTACCAGCTGTGTTTGTACAGGTGCCGTGTCCACAAAAATATCGAGAAGCACATTCATTTACGTCTTCATCACAATTAATTCCGTGCCATCCTACAAAAAATAGTTAAACACAAAGTAGCGGAATTCGTAATGTGTCCTAAGCCATCGCTTCTCTTAATTAATTTATTTACTTGAATTATGGGACAACCTGATCAATAAAATCAAACTAGACGATTAATTACAATACGCACTCAATTATTTAATATCTTTCAGTCTAATCTTATTTAGTAATCCATATGTCAGTGCATATGAAAACGTACGAAAAATTTCTATTACTATTTGGAAGCCATTTGCTAACATTTCCGTTGTTGTCCACTTTCAGAATAGAGATTTCAAGTTTTGATTAAGGTTAATTATATGTTCACCTTTAGTAGCCTATATTTTGAAACTTTTTTTCATGATATGCAATCAAATTAAAATAAAATATTCGAATCCGGTACAGCTTCTCAAACATCTTACAACATCCCATTCGGGGTCACGTCAGAGAGAATCGAAAGGTCGGTCTGACGTGACCCCAAATCTAATTTTAATTAGATTGCATGATATGACACTGTTGTATTCTCGCACGAAACTCATTTTAACGATGATGGCTTACCCATTTTACAGTAAGTATGACCGTTGACGACACACTTCTGTGGATTACCAGGACAATGATCTGTACAGTCTGATCCATAGTAACCCTCAGAACAGTAGGCCTTGTACGTTATCTGGATACTGAATAGGAGTAATTGTTATAAATATGCTTCAATTCACTTATTTCGAGCTAATACATGTAAATAATATTTTATGTAAAATTGTTTAAATATTTGGAGAGAGAGAGTTAACTCAAAATCTGATGATATATATCAGTTTGTAAATTGTTATTCAGGTTTTTATACCGTATAAGCAGAATTTTTAGCGAGGATTCAATTTTGGCATTATTTGCGTGGGTTTTGAGATCGCTAAATTTAATATCGCTAACAATTTAACCCGTGTCGGTTGTTATAGATATCTTTCTTGACATTATAAAATCGCTAAAATTACTTCTCGCTAAAATATGTACCCCTTTTTTTTGTAGATAAATCGCTAAATTTGCGTCTCTCTAAAAATTCCACTTATACGGTATAACATGATGTGAATGAAACCACTTACAAAAACGCATTTCTGTCCGAGAAATCATTAGCTTTCAATGGTTGTTGTCGCCAGTGTTGTGAAAGTATGTTGTCTCCTATTTGAAGATTGTAGTCAGAGAACTCTGTCTGGTAGATGAGTGGTGAGGAGGAGTTTTGTATATCTACCACTCTCACTGAGATCTTGTCCAAATATTTTTTCTGCGTTAAAATGTTTAAAGTGTAAATTATAAAGCTTCCGTAAAACATATTGTAATCGTAAGTGTATCGTAGGTGTTCCAAATGAAATGTACCACTAAAAATGAATCCAAGAGCTGATTCAAAAGGGAAGGGGAAAGGGGGAGAAGGGCATGAGATCCGGCTACCATCCCTCTTTTTGCGGACAAAAAAAATTACACACAATATCATAATGAAAGATCAGCTAAGAGTATATAAAAATATTACAGTACTGAAAAGAACGTCCAGGCCCCAAAACCATAAACTAAGAACAGACTTATGTCAAAATTTCAATTCTTTATGACTTTTGATTGATTGATTGATTGTATGTTGTTTTACGTCCGATTCGAGAATTTTTCACTCATATAGAGACGTCACCATATACCGGTGAAGGGCTTCAAATTTTGACCTTTACTCGGCACTCAGGGCCATTTAGCAGTGAGGGATCTTTATCGTGCCAATGCCTGCCGTGACACGGGGCCTCGGTTTTTAAGGTCTCATCCGAAGGACCCGCACTTTCACTTCAAAGTGCCGAGCGCATGGCGAAGGAACAGTTGCTACCCATTTTTTATCGACTTAGGTCAGTCGCGGCCGAGATTCGAACTCACGATCTCCCGATCACGAAGCGAGCGCTCTACCGACTGAGCTGCCGTGAACGGTATATAACTTTTGAAATGATCAAGAAAATGCAACCAAATTTCATTGAGGTTTGTATTTGAATACTTTACAAATTTGACACTTTTCAAACATGTTTGTTGAATAAAAATCAAAATATTCAAAATCTAAATTTTGACTAAAGTCCTTTCTTGGGGCCTGGTCTCTCAAATATGCTACGAGCACAATCAAAGGGCAGGGTGATAATGGGATGAAACGTCTTGTAAAAACTGTGTAAACAATTATGTGTTACGCTCCCCATTACAGATTCAAGGATCCATCTATGTACAAAAGGAGTAAAGGCCAAGAATCTAGCAATTTCAATCAAAATGACAAACACGAAATAAACATAAGGTTTTTTTGTTATTCACTCTTGGGATAAATCTTAATTTTATATCCATATATCTCCATATATTTCACTTCAAAAACTTATACTGCATTGTTTATAAATAGCTGATCTACTGATTTTACGGATAAATTGTTACATACAGATATAATTGTTAATTTTGCAGATTAAAGTGTGAAAAAAATTAAATAAAACCTTCAATGTGGCCCTCAAATCTTCCATAAACCTGTCCTAAGATTTTCAAAGACGAATCCATTTACGTTGGGTTTTTTAGCATAGATATCCGCTATTATAAGCCTTATTTAAAGTCTTAGAAGGAATTTAATGTGTTTACAACTATTATATGGTTTTCTTACCCATGATTCTACTTCTAGAAACACGGGGTTGGTTGCATTCCCAATCCTTGATCCAAGTATGACGTCATCTCTTTTCATATCTATGGTTGTTGTCATGGAGTCTACACATGTATGACTGCTATTTCTGAAAGCCAATCACTTATTTTTTGGAATGAGAAGAATAGTGAGAAGTTTGATAATCTGTTAAGAGGTGATTATTTAGAAAATGCAACAATGCTCGAGTTTAGTTGTAAGGGTTTTAAAGTTCTATATTAATAAAATTGTCATCCCAAGAGAAAACATTGTGATCCGAAGCGTCAACGTAAGAGATTTATAGGATTTAACGAGACTAACAGACGACTATAATAATACATGTAGTAATAAATTATCTTAAAATAATGAGATTTGAATTCAAAACAGGTACTTGATTCTTATGCAGTTCACATATTTATTATATTCAAGGGTACAACAACTCGTCGTTCTCATTGTACAAGGAGTCAAAGAAAATACAAAGAAACATCCACAGACATTTTTGAACATTGTCAATGATGAATAATTGATATCAAGAGTGCAGATCATTGTTGCACATAATTTTAATAATGCAACACAATAAAAACTTACTTTAGACAAATTGTCAGAACTGGTTTACATAGTGTGGTACAATGAGAACCAATCACGCCCTGACAACACGCACCTCCTTGGATCTTATTTCCCGTGGTTCTGACTTCGCTGATAGCAAAGAAGAACTTGACTTTGCATGATGCTTGCTGCAAAATAAATGATACTGGAAATAGTTTATACGGAAGCATTCTCAGGTAGTATAGATTGAAGTTTGTTCAAATAATGACACCCACGGGAACGCATTAAGCGATCGTTTTACACAGGAATATAGAGGGGAAAACCTTTTTAAAAAACTTCTTATGAACAGCAAAGCCATGATTTTTCATATTTACTGGTATTAAGAAAAATACTCAGTGTAGATTCAAGTTTGTTCAAATCATGCCCCTCCTCTGCCCTTTGAAGTTGGGCGTGGAGTAAGGTGAGACAACATATATTTTAATTTTTCAGTACTGTTTTCTGCTTTTCTCTAGCGGGATTGTTCAGTTGAGCATCTGGGCCTCTTGTTGTTTATTTTCCAAACCAATGCAAAGAATACCAAAATAAGATGCTAAAAATCTTTGATGAAATTCATTGTGTGGCAATATCACATTAGATATAATTCAGTTGTAAGATACTGGAGATAATAAAAAAAAGCATTTATCTTTGAAATGAGTTAAAGTAAAAAATGTAATTTTTAGGGCTATTTATTATTTCTCATGATAATGCAACGTCGTCCATTCACATTCATCTCTGGCTGATTAACTATATAAATCAATTAAGGGGATTTTATCCAGTGATGGGCTTGAGAATGAAATTGAATCTGTTTCAATATATATTGCACTTTGTGCTCCTGTATCGGCGACTTGTTTTTTTTTTCTTTGGTATGGTTTTAAGTAAGAGTTCCTTATATGTTTCTCAGTACAGATTTCAAATATATCAGTTCCATGCACAAATCTATACCGCCCACTGAAGTCTATGGCTAATTTTTCGCAATCTGACAGAAATACAAAATTATTTTTTTCTAAGAAAGGATAAAAAGTATTGAAAAAAATTGAAAAGGTTGAAATATTACCTTAACTAAAGTGACCCAGACTGCAATGGCAAGGAAGACGAATATGGATGAAAACTTCATATTCGTTTCTTTCTGGTTTAATGATCTGTCTTTATCTTCATTGTTTTAGTATCTATCAGTTTTGTAGTGTATATAGGGCTCGAGATAACGATGTTTGAGATGGGTGATGCATCTGTATCCGAAAGACTTTATAAAACTACTAAAAATACTGTTCATATAAATATAATACAGTGTTTGGTAAATGCAGTATGAGCAATGGAATGTAGGTGCATGAAATTTAAAAAAAGTTTTGATAGGGATTAATGATTTAAATTTGAAACATTAACTCAAAAGGTTAAGGCAAGTGTTATCAAATAGGTAGATTTGTGATGATAATCAACACAGTTGTATTGATTGCTATCTATATAATAATGTAAACCTGCTGTGTAGGTCAAATAACCACAATGGATGAGTTTATGAGATTGATATGGATTTTTGTAGCTTTGACTTCAGTAAGAATTTAAAGTTTATAAATGAACTTTTTTACTCAAATAATTATTTAAATCAATTAAATGCACTGATTATACTAAATATGAAAAAATGAAATACATCCTGCAAATGCTTACCATACATTTTATTTTACACTGGGAAGACAAGTTGCATTATGACTTATGTCCTTCGAAGTATTAATGTTAGTTAACATTGTGAAGATATCATACAATGGGCATTTCATTTATGAATATTTGATAGTTAAAAAGGAAAACCTTTTGAAATATAACTTATGGAACATGATTTTGTATTTAACCTTTAAAGAAAATATACCGGTGTTGTAGAGTAGGATTCCCCCCTTAGCCAGCCCCCCCCCCCCCCCCCAATCTGTTCTATAGAGTAGGATTTCCTCCGAGGGAAAATTCACAGTAGAGCCATATTTCCCCCTTGTTTTTCTCAGAGTAGGTTTTTCCCAATGCTTAGATCATATCGACAATATTTTGTCTAAAAGTTTATATGAAAGTCAACTGATTTTTTAATGGAAATATGAGTTCTTTCGATTCAAGAATTGTCAAATTTAGTATAAAATCTTAATATATATAGTTCAAATAATTGAGTCTCAACCCAAAATTTTAACTCATGGAAAATTGCCATAATAGTCACTCAAAAAATCGTAAGACTCGCTGTCTCACACTTCTCTCGACTTGAAATTTTGAAGATTTGAAATAAAATATTTTGTTTTCAGTTTTGTGTTAAGGCTTAAAAATATAAATAATGCTTAGAACGGTTTATATTGAACAAAAATTATACATAAAAGGTGTACAATTTTCAATTTTTTACGAAACCCTTGTTTATTCATAAACCTGCAAATAAATTGTACATTAAATATAATCTCGGTAGTGTTCGTGAATATGACACTTCTGAGTATTCAAGAATTAATTATAAAAGCTTTCTGGAAATTAACTACCTAAATATTCTAAAAATGACATTTGCTTTCAACTCATATCATGTAATGGATTCACTTCTGTTTTACAAGAGGTCCATGGGCCACATCGCTCACCTGAGCACTTTGACAACTGCTAGGGAATAGCAGAAATCAGTTCAGAATTGAAAAGTTTAAATAAATACGTGGTTCCTCCCTACCCCATGGGGGTGATGATTTGAAAAAAAAAATGAACCTACACTACTCCAAGATGCTTCCATATTAATATGACTATTCATCGCTTTGCTTTTCTTCAGAAGAAGATTTTTAAAGATTTTTTCCTATATATGCCTAAGTAAAACTTTTATCCCCCGATGTGGCCCCATCCTACCATAAGGGGTCATGATTTGAACAAACTTGAATCTAAACTATCCGAGGACGCTTTTGTATTTTTATGACTAATCAAAGCTTTGCTGTTTTTAAGAAAAGATTTTTTAAAAAATTCTATATATACCCATGTACAACTTTGACCCCCTCTTGTGGCCTCACCCTGTCCCAAGGGGTCATTGTTTGAAAAAAAACTTTAATCTATAGTACCTGAGGATGGATGTTTTTCTGTTCTTGAAAAGATTTTTGCAGAAATTTCCTGTACATTCCTAGGTAAAACCTAAGCCCTCTTGTGATCCCACCCTACCTTTGGGGATCATGATTTGAACAAACCTGAATCTACACTATGGAATGAAGCTTTCACACAAGCTTAATCTTTTCTAGAGAAAAATATTTTCAAAAGATACCATTAGATTTTAATTACATATTTAATATAATTCTTAATCATATCCCCTTGAAAGAGGGCTGGCCCTGTATGTAAACAAAAAATAAATTCCCTTTATCCAAGGAGTTTTGGGGAAAGTATGGTTGAAATTGGCCTAGTGGTTCTTGAGAAGAAGTCGAAAATGTGAAAAAAGTTACAGACAACACACAACAGATGACAAACAGATGTACACAGGACACTCTTAGATCAGAAAAGCTCACTTGAACCTTCGTTTCAGGTGAGCTAATTAATATTACAGTTTATTAAGCATGAAAAATCTGTTCTCAAGACGTTAGGGTTATTTCTGTGGGAAAAGTGGGACTTCATTTCAACGTGACATATATTCCGTTTGATTTTTGTTAAAAATTGTGCTCCTTTTTTTTCTCTGTAGTGTACCAATGGGAAGATCACGTTCTTCATTCATATAGATGAAGTTAAAAGTCCCAGTAACCTTCTTCATGGCGGAGGCTGTTGTCAGGAAGCCAGAACAAGTCCTTGTCCGGACCTTTGTAAACCACTGCTCAAACTGTGCCTCAAGTTTGTATTTCACAGGGATTAGCCAGCTGTGAAATTCTTAAAGATTACAATTTAAGTACAAAATTTTAACAAAACACGTATTTTGTACTTTTTGCGCAATTCTGTGTATCTTCTTTCCAACAAACCATCAAAATATTTCAACAAAAGTTTACAGTAAGATTAACTAATACCTAAATTAATGATTGCACCACATATTTCTTTCTTTCTGATAGAAGGAAAAGGAAATTGGTTGGAGATAGGAGGGAAAAGAGGGTGTGGGAGGAGGGAGACATTTAATCTTGGCCTTATAATTTTGCAGAGATTCCTCAAAGAATTGCCTTGATGAGATCACAACGACTCTTAACATGGAGAGAAATGATGTCATCTATGGTTCCGTGATCGGAAACACAACAAATCCTATTCTGCTTGAAGTAGACAGTTGGGTAAGTGGTGACAATCTAGTTCCGCTTCATATGCATTAAACACACAAATGTTTTCTCCAAGAAGTCAAAATTATCGATGCACCTTGGATATGCTTTTGAATGGAAGACATCTGAATTTTATTAGAGAAAGCAATCTGTAAGGTTGAAATTGCATATACAGGTATTTTACCAGAATTTACAGATCAAGTTTGAATCTAGCCGTGGTCAGATGATTTTTGACAGAGTTATTCCCCTTGGACTTAGAAAAAAATACGAAATTTTCAGTTTCCGCTCTCTAACTTTTGTAGGGATGAATGTATATGGTTGAAATTGCATATGCAGATATTTTACCAGAAAATACAGGTCAAGTTCAAATTTGGTCGTGGTCAGATGATTTTTATAGAGCCATCTTAATAAGATTTACATTGTATAGTTTTTTTTTTTTTGGGGGGGGGGGGTATGTAATACCCTCGGCGCAGGCGTCCCAGGTTAAAGCTTTTGGAGCAGATTTCTTTTCAAGTACTTCATGCCCTGCATTAATCAAAGGTGCATGGAAGATACTTCTAGTGTGTTTCATTGCACCAGTCAAGGTTTCAGATGCTGCATTTTCAGCTAAAGAATGACCAGGTTAATGTTTTTATGCCAGATTAAGGTCTCATTTCCAAGCCCAATGTTGACCAAACTTGCAGGGATGATACATCTAAGGATGCACACTACCAGGCTTGCTTCGGATGCTGGATCTGACCTACATTTTCCGGATGAGTGAGCAGGTTAAAGTTTTTGGAGCAGATCTCATTTCCAAGTAACTGTAAGCCCTATATTGACCAAACTTGCATGGATGATACAACTAAAGATGCACACTACTGGACTTGCTTTGGATGCTGGATCTGACCTACATTTTCCGGATGAGTAACCAGGTTAAAGTTTTTTGAGCAGGTCCATTACCAAGAAACTATAAGGCCTATCTGAACCAAATTTGCATGGATATTGCATCAAGGGATAAACATTCTCAAATTTGCTTCAGCTGAATTTGACTTACATTTTCTGGATGAGTAACTAGTTTAAAGTTTTTAGGTAAGTCCATTCCCGAGTAAATGCATGCATATCAGACCAAAATTGCATAAATGTTGAATCTAGCGATGCACACTACTAGATTATTAGTTTAGTGTTGGACATTGCCTTCCTTAAAGACAATATTCGTTGAGGTGAGCTCTGTAATCTCAAATTACCTATGTTTACCTTACTTATGCTCCTTGAACTTAGAAAAAAATCTTTTGTGCAAACAAATTTAAAACTAAATATGGCATTTGAAATTTTGGCTGCCTGCGGGGGCATTTGTGGCGTAACGACACATCTAGTTTTTCATTTTTATTGACCTAGTCATTTTTTTCATGTAGATTTGAGACATAGAATCAAGAAACTGCCAGTTGGTACATCTGTAGAAAAAAAATGGGAATTGCAGCTTTAAATCCAGGTCTTGTAAATTAAACTTAACAAAAAGCCACCAAGAATTAAAACAAGTTTAAATGTCAAATCTAAGAGTTATGCTGTAACTTTATATAAAAATGTTGCATAAAGATTACTTTTTTTTGGTTATATAAAACTTTATAACATACATGTATAAGTAATCGTCGTTTTTAATAGTAATGGTATAGATATGCATTTATATTGTACTATAAAAATGCAAATCAGATAGTGTATATCAATCTGTCCCTTGGGATTAATAAGTGGACAAGCATCCAGTAAAAGATTAATTGTCAGCACATACAATTTATCATTGAGTCAAATGCTGACTGACGTTTTTCATACTAATTGTTAGGCCATTTTTTACACACTGAATTGTCGACGGGTTTTTCCGTTATTTCCCGATCATGACAAGGAGCACACGGCGGGTGTGACCGGTCGGCAGGGGATGCTCACTCCTCCATGGCACCTGATCCCACCTCTGATGTTTGGAGGTCCGTGTTTGCTCTGCTCCTATTTTGTATTGTATAATGGACTTTTGAGCTTGAATACTGTTCGTTATCTCCATATATTTCATTAATGAGCACTGTGTGTCTTAGTCATTTCTGTTAGAGCATCGCTGATCAAGCAGGTGTTACATGTATCTATATCTCCTGGGAGTTGGACAGAAAGAATTTAAGATTTGGTCTCTAACTCTCTCGATTGCTTAGCGTCATATGTCTCACAAAGTTGCAAATAATTTTTTTTTCAATCTAATAAAACAAAATATAAATAAGCTGTGACTTAAATTCATCATTCATTAAATACATTGAACAATTAAATTTTCACTGTCAATGTTAACAAACTGTGAACATTTCTAGATCCATAAAATACTTTGAGTGACTTGGTACTTTTTCTGAAAAATCCAGCAGGGGTATTTGTCCATTTTGGACAGTTCTACACCAGACAAAATTGATAAGGCACCACTAAAATTAATTAATTTTTTTTCAAAACTTATTTATGATGTTTTTGATAAATAATTATGTTACTTTAATTTTAAAAAATGAGGCCTTTAAATGTTTTAACTGATAAAAAACAGCAATGTTTACTGAAGCGTAACCATTTCATAGAAAAAAAAAATGAAATCGTGTTCTTACTTTTTGGTGGAATAAATTTCTCTGTTTTCTTTGTGGTTGTATTCTTTTAATGTTCGACTAATTGAAAACTCAGTAAAAAAATTACACTGGATGCAGCGTTTGACCCGAAGAAGAGCGTGCTAAGGCAGCCAGTGTGGTGTCTGAAGGGGGATCCTTTGGAAAAAATTAAAACAGTTAAAAGATTATTCATTCCCCTAATGAAAAATTGTTACAAACGAATTAAAAAAATCATTAAAAAAAGTTTACTATAGATAGCGACTGCATTACGTAAGCACCACACAATTATTTCAAAATTGTTCCACAAAAATGGGACAACCGGAAGTTGATGGATTTGGTAAGGACACCTAGGCACTGGATGACTACTAAGCGATATAGTCGTCAATCAGGTTATATTATTTGATTTTTAAGTAGGAGACTGCTTCCCTCGCAACCTCACGGACCACCTTCGGTATATATTAACAAAAAATACCATAGTAAACTATAGTTAATTATAGTGTACTATAGTTACATTTGTGACTATAGTACCAAGGTAAAAACTTCGAACTTTGATTTACTATTGTAAAAATTTGGAACTTTGATTAGCTATAGTAAAAACTTTGAGACTTTGATTTACTATAGTAGAAACTTTGAAACTTTGATTTACTATAGTAAAACCCGTGGAATTATTTTTTTGATTTCTATTCTTGACATTTTATGATATATCATGGTCAAAATTCATAAAAGCTTCAGGGAACTTTTTATAAACCTGACCCCTCCCCTACAAACTTTAGTGTAAAGGAAATGAATTTTAACGTAAGGTTGTCTCTCGTGCCAGTAGATGAGCAACATTTATTTATATGTATTTAATTTAATGCAGATGTAGTGTAAGTTTTTTTTATGGAGAAAGAAAAACGATATACTATACAATAAAATTTGTGTCATTAGAACCAAAACACCTTCTCCATCAACTTCAGTAAACATCTATTTTTTAAATTTAATAATATAGAGTTATTGAATTTGTATTGGTGAATATTGGCACGACTTGGCTGTACAAATGCACGAGCTTGCGAGTGCATTTGTATAGCCAATTTGTGCCGACATTCACCAGTATAAGTTCAATAACTCCTTTATTATATAGCTAAAACATCTCCCATTGATATATATTAATTTTTTCGATTAAATAACTCAAATTAATAAGAATTTTTAGTTTTGGTATTTAAATTAACGTCTTATCTGTAAGTGTTCAATATTGCAACATTCCAATGATCCTAACAAACGTTATGATTTGTTTATTGAGGTTTTATTGAGACTAATACGTACTAAATTATTAATAAATAATTTTAATTTTTGTGAAAATAATCACATCTTACCTAGCTGCCACTGCCTCTCATAAAGTTGCCTCTGTGAGGATGACCAGACCACAGACCCTTAGATCGTTTGAAAAATTAAGGTGTTAAAAAATATCTTTTTTATATACTCCATTTTTTAAAGTCGGATTTAAGCGATCCAAAGGCCTGTGAACTAGACGACATTTTTTGTTTACAACGCGCATTCGATATTGAACGCTCGAATCCGGAATGTTTCGGGTATACTCATTTACGTAATACAAACTCAGCGTTCAATAAAACGCCAAGATATTGAACGCTAAAATTCTCTAGACTTTTAGTAGTTTTTCATCATAGACTATTTATTAGCTATATAATAAATGTAAATATTGCATTTGAATTAACTAATTTGTTAATTTTAATTAACATGTACAACAACCCCCAGCACCCACCCAATCCCACATCCATCCCCTAAAAAACGGCAAAATAAGCAAAAAAAAAAAAAAAAAAAAAAAAAAAAAAAAAAAAAAAAAAAAAAAAAAAAACCAAAACAAAACAAAACAAAAAACAAAAACAAACCAAAAAAAAAAAAAAAAAATTAAAATACTTTAATACGTTGATCAACTATTGTGAGAACTTTGAAACTTTGATATTGTATAGTGAAAACTTTGAAACGTTGATTCACTATAGTGAAAACTTTGAAACTTTGATTTACTATATGATAGTAAAAACTTTGGAACTTTGATTTTCTATTGTTTAAACTTTGAAACAGTGCACGTCGGGAAATTGGTTTTCGGGCAAGGCCCTTTAATGATTTTGTCATGACACAAGACATTTGTCAATCCAACTGTTTTGAAAAAGATGGCATATTTCATATACTAGTACCGATCAGGCAAATGATCAATTCACAAATAAGGATAACAAGTGGTGTGTTAGCAATTTTGTCTAGAGTAGTTATAATTTTGGTTAAATTTCACAATTATATCGGACAATGTGCGTCTTCTGTTATATTTAACGGAATCGTTCATATTTGCGATAATCAAGATGTGTAATTTTTTTTGGTCTGCCACTTCTACGCCGATTCTTTATTTCATCACGCAATAAATATCGTCAAATGAAGGTACTAACAGTACTGTGAGAGGCCTTTCTAACAATTGGCTCTTTTCTGTTAAAGAATTTCCACTATCAAAAATATTTACAGCAATTCTTTTTTCTTCCGGACTAAACTCTTTCCCTTTTCTGCCCATCGTTTGTTTTAGTATTGTATCAGATGTAAACCTATGACACTTTTATAAATATTGTCACAATTGACAGGTGGCCAGCTACATGTATTTTACTCATAGCAGAAATTGTGATTGCATCATTTTAAAAAATACTTTTTTGCATCACTCTGTACTTTTACCTATATTCTACCAATATTACTGTAGTGTTATTGCAGAACTAAACAACATCATTGTAATGAAACGAATAAGATTCAGCTGTAATTCCTAATACCTCAATTTTTTTTCTGACGCAGGATAAAGATCATGATCGACTCTCTTTAGAAGTACATGACTTACAGTCTACAGCCCTGCCCCTTTTGTTCAAATCCGAAATCATGGATCATGACCTTCATATCGGTGACAACATGTTGTCCCAATTTTGGCGTCAGAAAAAATTACAAGCTAGTTTTTTCCTGGATAAAAATGTTTTCAGGTAAGTAATAATATTTATTATTAATAAAATAATAATATTTTGAAATAATATTAACAAGGGAAGGTATCGTGCTAGTTATTTCCTGGACAAAAAATGTTTTCATTTAAGTACGTATTATTCAATATTTTGAGATATTAACAAGGGAAGATATTATTTCATGCTTTAAAATATAAATGTAAATGTACAGTGTATTTAACGTCATGTTGTACATTTAAATGTTTCAGGGGAATATCAATCAGCATAATGAAATCATTTATCCTTCAGTATCCAGATAACGTACAAGGCCCACTGTACTGACGGTTGCTATGGTTCAGACTGTACAGTTTATCTACATATTACTCTTATTTCAGTATCCAGATAACGTATAAGGCCTACTGTTCTGAGGGTTACTATGGTTCAGATTGTACAGTTTAGCTACATATTACTCTTATTTCAGTATCCAGATAACCTACAAGGCCTACTGTACTGAGGGTTACTATGGTTCAGACTGTACAGTTTATCTACATATTACTCTTATTTCAGTATCCAGACAACCTACAAAGCCTACTGTTCTGAGGGTTACTATGGTTCAGATTGTACAGTTTAGCTACATATTACTCTTATTTCAGTATCCAGATAACCTACAAGGCCTACTGTTCTGAGGGTTACTATGGTTCAGATTGTACAGTTTAGCTACATATTACTCTTATTTCAGTATCCAGATAACCTACAAAGCCTACTGTTCTGAGGGTTACTATGGATCAGACTGTACAGTTTAGCTACATATTACTCTTATTTCAGTATCCAGATAACCTACAAAGCCTACTGTTCTGAGGGTTACTATGGTTCAGATTGTACAGTTTAGCTACATATTACTCTCATTTCAGTATCCAGATAACCTACAAGGCCTACTGTTCTGAGGGTTACTATGGTTCAGATTGTACAGTTTAGCTACATATTACTCTCATTTCAGTATCCAGATAACCTACAAAGCCTACTGTTCTGAGGGTTACTATGGATCAGACTGTACAGTTTAGCTACATATTACTCTCATTTCAGTATTCAGATAACCTACAAGGCCTACTGTTCTGAGGGTTACTATGGGTCAGATTGTACAGTTTAGCTACATATTACTCTCATTTCAGTATTCAGATAACCTACAAGGCCTACTGTTCTGAGGGTTACTATGGTTCCGATTGCTCTGTCCATTGTCCTGGTAATCCAAAGAAGTGTGTCGTTAATGGAAATACCTATTGCAAAATGGGTAAGTGGATGACTTTCTGTAATAAAAGCGGAACACTAATCATAAATAGGCACCGTCACAAAGGAATATGAATGTCAGAAACCTCGGCCCATTGACATCTCGGCCCAATGACACCTCGGCTCAGACAGGTCGGCTCAAGATTTAAGACAGATTGGCCCATATATAAGACACCTCGGCCCAAGCAAAATTTCATTACGAAATATTTTATATTTCCAAATTGCGACTTAAGGACCCTCTATACACCGATGAAAAATGTTTTTTGGACTTTGAAAAAATTCTATAGCACAAAGGAGGATATTTTGAAATTAACGAACTCATTTTTAATATAGGGAGCGTGCCTTTTTTATTCAGGAAAAATCTTCAAAGACACTGAAGTAATAATAAAGAAAAATTGCCTTTACTTAGGAAAATGGATAAAATACATGTAAATGAAGTTTTCAAATACTATATCTCGGTCTAATATAATGTTTAGAATACTTGGATTTATTTTAAATTATGTGATACAGTTCAAATTACAATTTCTTCTATTTTTATGTTAAATGGTGGGTCAGTCTAATTACACAAAAGTACCCTGAAAATAGGGTGCAGTGTAGAGAGGGTCCTTAAATAAAATACTGATTGAAAAAATTTATCGAATATGCGATCAATGTTTTTATTTTAGATTATAAAAAACCTTCCATGAGCATTTTGACTTTAATCAAGGAATGAGAAGACATATATAATTAAGGTGCTAACTGATAAACAAACAAAATGCCGCGGCGCATGCTTTGGAGTCTCAAGTGTGTGTCATACTGGTGACAATGAAGAATTAATTACGAGCAGGCTTATCTGTGAGACAGTACATTTACAGCCATTGAATATTTTCTATTTTTTTTTATTCCTAAGAAAACACTCACGAAAGTTAACATTCATTTTATCAAGCAGTTAACAGAACTTTTAAATGCCCCTTGTACATTCGTAAATTCATTTACATTGCTAAACTATCTCGAGTCCGCTTTTCCCTACGCTTCCTCTATCAATGGTTGCTTTTCAGTCAATGAAACATAAAATTTTAATCTAAAATTAATGCATGGTTTCAACCATATTGTACATGTAGATAAAAAAAATCATAAAGGCTGCATCTGTTTATTCTTGCATTAACCTCCCAAGAAAAAATGAAAAAAAAATGTTTAAATGTAATCCATTTCTTTTCACGGATTATTGACCTATCTCAAATGTTTCAAATCGTCAGAGAAACAATGCAAAATGGTACGATAACATACAAATATATAAAATCGTAAGAAAGAATTGCTAGTATGTTGAAATCTAGCATTACTTAGCATATACATTGCGCATCTCTCACAAGAGAGAGATGCAAGTTAAAGACTTATATGATTTTAGTTATTTAGTTATAAATAGAAATGAACCAATCTATCATAGACCCCCCCCCCCTTTTGCCAATTTGATTTTTATGACGAAAATCGTTTAATCGTCAGAAAGAATAATTATATCTATAATAATATCAACTCAGACACTGGATTAATTATTTTTATCACAAAATTTTGCTTGGGCCGAGGAGTCTTTTATATGGGCCGACGTGTCAGTTATCTTGGGCCGACCTGTCAGGGCCGAGGTGTCAAACGTGACGGGCCGAGGTGTCAATGGGCCGAGATGTCTGTCTACCAGGTAGATGTGACGGTACATGTTGTCGTTTTGTACATATTTTCGTCGGCGACAATATGTACCTACCCTCACTGCACATATTGTCGTCCATCGGTACATATTGTCGCCGGCGACAATATGTACTGACACAAGCCTTATTTTCCTCCCGCATAATGGACGACGAAATGTACAGTCAAGCACCAGCACATATTGTCGTCGGCGACAATATGTACAGTCAAGGTCGGCATATATTGTAGTCGATATATTGTTTTGACGGATGTTTAATACATGTATATACTTGGAAGTATTAGTTTTTGTTCAGTAGTAATGATCATGATTCTTTGCTTTATTCTTATATAGAATCATGTGCCGATATACATGTAATTGGTGTTGAGGTTAACATTTTTAGATCACCTGAACTGGAAGTTCAAGTAAGCTTTTCTGATCACATTTTGTCTGACCGTCCCTCCGTTCCTCTGTCTGTAACCTTTTCACAATTTCAGCTTCTTCTCAAGAACTACTGGGTCAATTACAACCAACTTGTCACAAAGCATCCGTGGATAAAAGGGATTCAAGTTTGTTCAAATGAAGGTCCATGCCCTCTTTTAAGGGAAGTAGTTAAGAATTAGTAAAAATTTAGTGACATCTTTAAAAAATCTTCTTAAGAAAAACTGTGTCAGAAAAGTTGAAACTTATGCTTCATTATGAAGTGTAGATTCAGTTGTATTCAGATCATGTCCCTCGAGGGAAGGGTGTGCCTAAAATAGGCGTTCAAAGTTTTTCAAAGAATATTTAGAAAAAAATCTTTCAAAATCTTTTTTTCAAGAACTACTGCCTCAGAAGAGATGATACTTATGTGAAAACATTCAGTCAATTTTGACTGCTGGCACGAAAAAAATCTCCCACTGCTCAATGACCCTGAGTGCCAAGTATAGATCTAAATTTGCAGCCCTCTACCGGCAAGTGGTGACACCTACATACGCGCTCATAGCCCAGCTGTTTTTAAAGGATTCATTAAAGGAGAATGCATTAGACATGCGAGAAATACTACTGACCCTATAATATTAAATGCAACACATAATAACTTTAAGACGCACTTATCAAAGCGGGTAACTCTACCTCAGAAAATGATCCTACTATCAAAGAAACGATCAACACAAGCCGATAAAAATTCACCCTCAAAAACACTAAAAAACAGCCATTACGTAACCCTGCAGTATTGGTTACTAAATTTAACCCTTGTATTAAAGGACTGAAAAAACGAATCCTGAAATATTGGAATAACATTCTTAGAAATCCAGAATGCAAAACTTTATTTAATTCTCAATCAATCATCGCTTACAGCAAACACAAGATCATAGGCGACGAGATAATCAGGTCTTACTCAAAATAAACATCAAATTATGTGTCTGTGACCCCTGATGAGGCTACTTAATTGCCGAAACACTCTACAACTACTTGCATAATTCAAATTAATCTGATCTATGCAAAAACATATCTACTATAAGCGTGGTTTGGAGTGTCGGGTCCAAATAAATCTCTTCCAAGTCTGGTTGATTGATGTCGCTAATTTTCACACTTTTTTTGTCCTTTTTTTGCTTTGGTAAATTCTGTTTTTTTATCTTGCATATACATTCAATTTACTCCATAGGTAAAAAAATCATAATTAGATAATTTACTTAACATATACAGTAACATCCATTTCTATATATATGACTTTTTTTTTGCTTGTCAAAAAAAAAAAAAAAATGACACCCAAGCCCCTCCCGTTCTGAAATTTCTGGATCCACCACTGAGGAACAGCAGTACATGTAGGCCCATGATTAGTGATGTTTATATGGAAGCATCCTCAGGTAGCGCAGATTCAAGAATCTTTAAATCAAACCCGGCCTAGGGTGGGGCCACAATGGGCGATCAAAGTTTTACATAGGGATATATAAAGGGAATTTTTTTAAAAAAAATTATCATCTCAAAAACAGCAAAGCAATGATTAGTCATATTTATATGGAGCATTGTCGTGCATTGTAATGCGACATGTACATGTTCTGATAGACGACAATATGCGCATGAGGGTAGATACACATTGTCGCCGGCGACAATATGAACAGGACGACAAAATGTACCATCACAAACACGCTGCATGAAATAACATACGAGACACGTTAGTGTGAATCACACACCAATTACATTCACAAAACCAAAAAAAAAAAAAAAAAAAAAAAAAAAAAAAAAAAAAAAAAAAACAATAAAACGAAATCTGTAAACAACAATATCTGTGGGGCGACAATATGTACAGTGAGGGTGAGGCACATAATGTCGCCAGCGACAATATTTACATGTGTAACTTTTCAGCCGGCGACAATATGTACCGATGGACGACAATATGTGCAGTGAGGGTAGGTACATATTGTCACCGTCATAGGTAGATAAACCCTTCGATTTTGTTACACCCGTTTGCACACTTTGGCCGACATGTAGTATTCCTCTCGTTGTCTTAGATTTTGTACGTTTATTCCTTGTTTTTATATGCATTTTCTATTTGTAAATAATGTATTGACTTGTATATTTCATGTTACTTTTCTCCTGGCTCGGAAAAGGTGCGTAAAATTTGAAAATTTTATCGCGACCGAGTAATATGGCAATGTAAGTTCTAAGTCTATACTCGTCAGACCTCTACAGTGAAATACCTTGAACTGTAAAGAGGTCTGCGGCTTATATAGGGGTTGTAGGGGATAGCGCCGATGAAGGAGTTTTATGACGGACAATGCCTTTTTGTTCCCCGCTTTCACTGAAAGTGGAGAATATTAATTTCAGTCTGTCTGTCCGTCCCTCCGTCTTTCTGTTCGTTCGTCTGTATTTCTGTCTGTCTGTAACACTTTGTTTTTCGCGCGATATCTCGAGAAGCCTTTAAGCTTTTGCTATGAAATATTATATAGCAACTTACTGTGGCCTGAGAAAGACTCCTATTGATTTTGAGGTCAAAAGGTCAAAGGTCAAGGTCATAAATTAATAAATTCTGTCCGTGCGATATCTCGGGAAATCTTTGAGCTTTTGTAATGAAATATTACATGACAACTCCCTGTGGCCTAGGGAAGACCATATTGATATTGAGGTTAAAAAGGTCAAAGGTCAAAGTTGTAAATTCACACATTCTGTCTTTGTGTCAAACCTTTGTTTCCGGTCGATATCTCAAGAAGCTGCAGAGCTTTTGCAGTGAGATTTTATACCATTACTCTCTATGACCCCGTCCGCCCCTCTCAAAGTGTCTCGCCACGTTTTTTTTTGGGTCATTTTTTTTTTCTCAAAAGAAATTTGTTAGCATTGATAACGCTCAAAGTTTTAGAGTAACTCCCCATTTGTATTAAAAGTCGCGTGGCACAATTTTTAATTTATTTTTAGCACATGTGGAGAGTTATTACATATAATACAGGTTGTCGACGGACTTTATACTCTAATTACTTCTATTAGAACTGTTTTGTTAAGGCTAAATTAGACACCATGTGTTGTGTAAAATTTTGACAATATCGAACTTGAATATATGTGTACATATATTTGCATTTGATATGCATCGAAGTCCAGCGCCTCGTTGGTCTAATAAGGGTATGATTCTCGATTTGGATGCGAGAGGTCCCGGGTTCAATTCCCAGACGATCCCGTATTTTTTTTTTTTGAATTTTTTTTTTGATTACTAAATGATAGTATTCAACATATGAAATGAAGAAGTTATGACGTGTACAAACCTTCTCATAAGTCATTATTAAATTGTGATAATTTTAAATAAACATATATTTATATTTATATACATATATAATATATAAAAAGAATCTTCTGTACACATTTTAAAGAATAAGCAATCAAATATCTATATATCCATATTGCCATTTTCTATTTCCTTCAGTATATACATTAATTTTAATAACTCAGCAAATCCAGGGGGGTCCAACCCCCAATCCCTCTCTAAATCTGCACATGCTGGTATTTTTCCTTTAGCGGGAGACACAAATTCTCCGAATTAGCTTGTACGAGTAGTGTTCAGCTTTAATGTCTAATCAGGATGAGAATTTGGGAATATTAAAGTTTATTAATTTTTAGGCTGGAATGGCGTTAATTGTGACCAGGATGTAAACGAATGCAACATACCTGCATTTTGTAGCCATGGGAATTGCTCTAATACAGCCGGTAGTTTTCTGTGTGCGTGTCCACCTTCCGTTTACGGAATAAAATGTCAACTGGATGAAGACGAATGTTTATCAAAAAATTGCAATGGTGGTACTTGTCGAAACAAAATTGGAAGTTATGAGTGTATATGTAAAAGCGGAATGACAGGAAAAGATTGTGAAACGTTAACGTCTTCACACTGTGGGGCACGCACGTGTCATCAACACGGATCTTGTCGAATAGAGGATGGACACGCCGTTTGCACCTGTAATAGAGGATTTAGTGGAACCGATTGCTCTCTTCACGACTTCTGTGCCAGTAATCCGTGTAAATATGGGGCAACATGCTCATCCACTGTTCACGGCTTCAAATGTCATTGTGCAAATGGATATACCGGCCATAAATGCGAAGTTGTAGACTTTTGCTCGTACAAGCCTTGTGCAAATGCTGGCAATTGTACCAACACTGGATCAGACTATATATGTTCCTGCACAGATAACTTTATCGGGAAGAATTGTGATGTTCCAAATCCATGTAATGGACAAACATGCAATGGTCACGGTTCCTGTAATACGACATATAACGGCTTCTACTGTCAATGCAACAATGGATTCATGGGAAGAAATTGTGAGAAAATAGACTATTGCTACCAACAATCATGCAGTAGTCATGGTGTATGCGAAAGGAATAGTTCAGATTATGTTTGCAAATGTCAAAAAGGCTATGAGGGAAAAAACTGTGAATTTATCGATTATTGTCATTTTAACCCCTGCCTTTATGGTGTATGCAGTAAAAGTGGGACAGGGTTTATTTGCACTTGCAACGATGGGTTCAAGGGAAAGAGTTGTGATGAAATTGACCATTGTTACAACCAGACATGTTCCCACAAAGGCATTTGCCAAAACAACCACGATAATTATACATGTCAATGTCAAGACGGATACTACGGAAAAAACTGTGAATCAATTAATTATTGCAAGTTCAATCCATGCATGCAGGGTATTTGCAGCAATAATGGAACAAAGTTCACTTGCACTTGCTTTGATGGTTTTACTGGGATAAGTTGTGAATTAGTTGATTACTGTTCTCATCAAAATTGCTCTTTTAATGGCCGTTGTGTGAATAACCCTCATAATTACTCTTGCCAATGCAACCCTGGATTTCTTGGACCAAATTGTGAAACAAAAGACGTGTGCTTTAAAAAAACGTGTAACGACCATGGTGTTTGTCACAGGGTAGTAGAATCAAATTATCAGGATTTTACTTGCAAATGTGATGCTGGGTGGTCGGGTTTGGAATGTCAGTCATACAACTACTGTCATAATGTAACTTGTTCTAATCATGGGAAATGTTTTACCGGGAATAATGATTTTGTTTGCGTATGTGATAGTGGATTTTCTGGGGAAATGTGTGAATCGATTCAGTTTTGCAAAGCATCGTCTTGTGTTGCCCCGCATGTCTGTAAAGAAGATGTGAAGGGTTATACTTGTGTATGTCCATATGGGTTAGCTGGAGAAAATTGTGATCGAATCGATCACTGCTTGAGTCATCCCTGTGGAGATCATGGGAAATGTGTAGATACAAACACTGGATACATCTGCTCTTGTTTCTCTGGATGGACAGGCACTTTATGTACTGATATTGATCACTGCACCAATTCTCTTTGTCAGCATGGAGCTTTTTGCAATAATAATGCGCTTAATTTTACGTGCACATGTAAAGTTGGTTTTTACGGTTCTTTGTGTGAAAATGTTAACCACTGTCTGACTGAACAATGCTTAAACAACGGAACATGCCATAACTATTTCAACAGTTCTACGTGTTTATGTCCCAGTGAGTGGACAGGACTTCACTGCGAGATAGAAAATCTGTGTGTTACCACTCAGCCATGTGGAGACCATGCCCATTGCTTTCAAGTCGGATCGCAAATATCGTGTTCCTGCTTATCAGGTTGGATGGGAGAAAATTGCACAACTAAAGATTACTGCTATAATTTACCTTGTGGTTCAATGGGAACTTGTCAAAATTTGGTTGATACGTATACTTGTAAATGTGATCCACAGTGGACGGGTAAAAATTGTGAAACATATGCCTGCGAAAACAACACTTGTCTTCACGGATATTGCCATGCCAGCAAAAATGCTTTATTTTCTTGTGACTGTGATTCTGGCTGGATAGGTCATGATTGTAATATCATAGATCCATGTAAATCTATAAACTGTAGCAATGGTGGAAAATGTGAAGCAACTTTACATAAACCATCATCAAAATCAAACTCATCTTTAATTCAGCACCAATCAGATTTCCACGCAACAGGATCGTGTAGATGTGCCAAAGGATGGGAAGGGAAAACATGCCAGATGGATATAAATGAATGTCAGAAACAAAACCCTTGCCACGGACACGGTTCTTGCTTAAATAATATAGGTGGATTCACTTGTAGCTGTGATCAAGGTTTTTCTGGCTTGGGATGTGAAATTGATATAAATGAATGTGCTTCTAACCCATGTCGAAACAATGGTACATGTGTCGATGGTGTAGATGGATACACTTGCTCGTGTTCTTCGTTCTTCTACGGAGAGTTGTGCGACAAAGATGTCAACGAGTGTCAGTACTTTGTGTGCGGGTCTCATGGGACTTGTGTAAACACATATGGTGATTATAGATGTATGTGTACACCAAATTGGACAGGACGTCACTGTGAAAATCACATCAGTTCATGTTCTCTCCAACCATGTAAAAATAATGCAACATGTTTCAATGTAGAAGATACATTCTTTTGCACATGTGACAACCGGTTTACTGGTCGACACTGTGATATTGATGTCAACGAATGCCAGATAAGTTCACCTTGCAAAAACGGGGCGTCTTGTATAAATATGTATGGTTCTTTCTATTGCATGTGTCCTACAGGATGGAGTGGAAAAACCTGCGACATTGATATAGATGAATGCGTAACGAATCCTTGCCCAAAGAACACTACCTGTGTAAACCATATGAACGGCTTTGAATGTCAGGATTGTTCCACATTTCAGTGCCTTAACGGTGGACAATGTGTTGATACAGAATATGGACCCATGTGTAATTGTTCCCGGGACTGGACAGGTACTGACTGCATTCAACGAAATTTCTGCAAAGACGGTCCATGTGGATCACTCCAGATCTGTATCAATACTAAAAATGCCTACACCTGCGAATATCATCCCTGCAAAAGTTCTCCATGTGAAAACGATGCAAAATGTGTCGAAAACGATATTGGATACTACTGTGAATGCAATCTTGGTTGGAAAGGAACATTATGTGAAGAGAAAAACTACTGTGAAACAGCTGTTTGTGAAAACAATGGAACTTGTAGAAATGGAAACACCTCTTTCTACTGTGTTTGCTCCAACAACTATTATGGAGACCGATGTGAACTGTATGACTATTGCTTCTATCATTCCTGTCTAAATGGTGGGGTTTGTCAAAATCAGTTGGGTACCTACATTTGTACTTGTCCACAAGGTTGGGAAGGAAGGAACTGTGAAACTCGTGACCACTGCCACACTTTGCCATGTCTTAACAATGGTATTTGCAATAACCAAAATACATCGTACAGTTGTGATTGTCCTTTAGAGTGGAAGGGGAAAAATTGTGAAGAATATGATTACTGCTTCAATTCGCCCTGCCACAACAACGGAGCTTGTCATAATGGAAAAGATGCATTCTTCTGTTCGTGTATGCCGGGCTATTTGGGAAAAGCGTGCGATGTTTTTGATCAGTGTGTTTCAGGTCCATGTCAAAACAATGGGACTTGTTTTATGAATCAGTCTAGTTATGAATGCCGATGTCATGGTGGTTATATCGGAATGCAATGCGAGAATGACAGAAATGAATGTAAAATGAATTTGTGTCCGGCAAGGTCAACTTGTTATAATGAGGATGGTGGATATACATGTATTTGGGAACGAAGACGGAAAAGAGAGGCAAATTTTCTAGGTAAATGTTACACATTATGAAATGAAATCCGAAGTATCAAAATTCAAATAATGATTGATAAAAAATTATTTCAGCCTTTTATAATAAATATCAAAAAGAGTAATAAATACCAATTATTATTTCAAGAAATATTTTGTATAGAATTACATGTATAAGTTTTGCACATTGCACACATTGATAGATGTTAAAAAATTCATGATGTGAGAAAGTTTATTCGAACTGTGAACATTATAGCGTCTCATTTTTTTTATATTGCTTTCTGAACCTTATACATGTATATTAAACATTTTCTTTCAAATCATCAGGTTTGAAATCCGATGTGTTAGAGATCTCTGTCTCCGAAAATAAGAATGAACTAGAGATTAACATTTCAAACTCTCTACGTTTGGTGGAAAAATCTTTTTGCAAATCCTTCCCCTCTCAGTTTGAACCAAGATCACTAACTTTACAAAGGTAAGATAATTTCTATTGTTAAACCTATGCTATTCGTATTTCAACAGATTCAGCCCTACATTATTTACTTATTCTAAAATTTACCGTTTTCTGTTGTGATTTTTTTTTTTCATTCATATCACATCCAAACCAAATTTTTCATATTCAGGATGCTTAAAAAACAATATTCTTGTAGATTTACTGTAGATATTCTTGGCCAAAGTATTTGGACATTTTGACTTTTTAAGGGTTATTGGAAGACGAAGTATGTTTGAAATTTGTGCATAGGAGTAGGAATCAGATTTTTTTTTAACATAGAAAATGTGAAGGCAAATCATAAAAACTTCATGTCGGAAGCATGTAGAAAAAAGATTTTCATGATACAAAACTGTGATTCTGTTTCGTAGAGGTAAAAATTAATGAACATTTAAGCTCAAAATCAATGGATGGTTTCTAACCTCTGCTTGAATTTACCTTCCAGAAATAAATTTTGATAATATACATTATTAGCAAATTCATTTGTCATGAACTCAAAGATTTTCTTAATGTACAATACGTTTTTCTTTTTCTTTTAAGAAATGGAAAATTGTACCTTCATTTTAATGCTTGGTGCAGCGAAGAAGACGATTACAGCTAAAGAATTCACAACTAATTGTGATTGTGTGTCAAACATGTTTTTTTAGCTGCACATGTTACAAAAGCAATAACTGCTTGAGGACACTTATGAAAAGTTTTCGTTACGTTCATTATAGGAGAAATATGTTTTACTTCACTTTTCCTGATTCGAATTTTATATGAAATGTATTTAGTTTTGTATTGCAATTTTCTCAAGCATACATAATAATTAGATATCAGTATTTTTAATGGAGTGTAAATGACAGCGCTATTGTAATTTTTTTTTTTACAAAGTTAAAAAATTATATTGCCATTTTATTGAGTTGTTAATATTTTAAATAACAAACAAGGTCAAATATTCTCGGTATGCATTCCTTTCAATTTTAATGTAGCAATGGTTAAAGTGGTAATTAGAATAATATTTCATTTGTTCAATATAATATCAATCACTTGAATAGGTAAAGAAAATGGGACTCCATGTTGTTTTTAAGTTTATTATTTGCAAATTTTAACGTTTCATTATTTTAAAACATCATTATTCATACAAGTTAATCTAAATCAAATTTTTTCAAAACAATAAAATATGCATATTTACCTTTATATGTACTGGTGCATATTTGAATGAGTAATAATTCTTTACTGGAAGGTTCCAAAGAAATTATAACATCTTTTTATATGAAGTGTTCCATTAATTCAATTGTGTTCATTATAATAACCTTTTTTCTTAGTATAAGGCGAGAATCTGACATGGCTCGTATATAATTAGGGCGACGGAAAGACTAAACAAGCAAAACTAACAAATTCAAAAAATAAAAGCGAAAAAAATTTACTGAAACACAAAAGAGTTTAAGGTAGAATAACGCATCTGGTGATATTTTGCTTACCAATGCCTCTTTATTATAATTATAGAACCATCTACTACAATCTCAGAATGCAGATGTTGTTCCTTTATTTTTGATGATTTTTTTTATTTTCCAAATGAATTTCAATTTCATCAATTTTCAATTCATTGTCTTCAAATTCGTTGTTTTCTCACTTGAAATATTCCCATTTATCATGTAAGAGTAAAAATACACCAAAATAATGTTTACTGTCATCATTAATTTTTTATTATTTCTGAAAAAAGTGGGGGGGGGGGTTACATTCAAATTTGGGAGGGTTGTACTACATGTAATGGGATTTGGAATTAGAAACCTCATGTAAAAAGTTTATTATACTACGGGGGTATTAGACAGAATACAGAAACAAGTGATTGTGCCTAGGAGATATCTAGTGAGTGTCAAAAATTGATGATAAACATAAACATTTAGAATCAATTTCAAACATTAATAATATATACTCTGACTAATGAATATTCAATAAGCATTTTAAGGAATGAGACTAAAAACAATGTGTTAAAAACATGAAAAAGTCGCATATATATTTACATTTGCTATGTTTTTTTCTACTAAGCCAACTCTAGAATTTGAATGCCATTTTCGTGTATACTCACGTGTAGAAATATGCACGGAGAAACTCGCGCTAAAGTGACGTCAAAATGAGCTACAAAGACGTTAGCTGCAATAATGTAGCCCTCTCCGATTTTTTTTTTGGGGGGGGGGGGGGGAGAGGGCTACAACTCCTTAGTATCTCCGTAATGGTGCAAGTGCGGGAGTGATTCACTACCACACAGATTTCGGCTCAAATTATCAGTAAGTGGGTATTTTATTAACATATCTTACATGAACTCATAAAATGTAAGTATGCAGGACATTAATTGATCCAAAAATATACAGAAAATCCGTATATCGGTTATTTTTCGTGAATGTCCACATCACAACTTGAATTTATCCGCCATGTTTACTGACCTTGATCGATTTTATTTTGGGACAACCAATGAGAATTCGGGATCTAGGGGAGCGGATCTGTATGGATTTCCCTTATTATAAGCATAAATATCACTGTATATGAAACAAGGTTAGCTTTTTAAAAAAAGCTGAGAGTCAGCCACTGGAATACAGAAAGTTTCTATCTTGTTTTGTGATGGTTTATGATTTGTTTTATCCATCATGTTGTGATCATTAAAAGTCATTGTCGTCTAAGTTAAAATTCGCCCAGTCGTTTTCTTATTTGTAACATAATGCTGTACATAATAAATAATAAAGCATAGAATAAATTTTAGTTAGGTTACATCGTGATCTTTATGATGACCTCCAATTAATTTCTCTTGGGCGCGGACATCAGATAAAGTTCGTCTCAGAAACGAACAAAGCCACTATGATCCCAATCATTGAACGTTGAAGAATGTATACATTTTCAATTTTACTGTTAAATTCTATAAATGATATAGATTATGATGCTTAAAATGAAGGTGACCTTGGGTTAGATTGTGTTAATTTTTATTAGATAAAAGTTTTTAATCGTGCAGGTTCGAGGCAATGCATGATAGGGGGAGGGGTGCATACTGTATGTATATTTAATTCAATTTCTAAATTCAAGCATTCATTTTAGTGTTATTAGGAAAGAAAAGAATTGCTTCCAAACTAAAGTAATAAACTGGAAATTCAAAATATTTTATACATACAGTACATAAACCCTAAAATGAGACTGGATTCCATCTCGTTCACTCTCTCTCTAATTGGGAGGGGGCCTGTCTATAAATCTGCGCAGTTTCTCTCAACTATCGCAGTTCTACTGTGGTCAGTTTCTCACCTGTGGGCGCGGTTCACGTGCACAAGCGGCACTTACATGTCTATCATCGTGTAAATTATAAGACTTTACACATTTTAAGTGATCTTCTGACGTTTTCATAACTTTCATCATTAAAGTGAAAAGAGATTCTTTTTTCACTGTTTTGGGACCTTTGTGCAAGTGAAATATTGTGTGAATTCCGACCCGTACATGTCTTATGCAAGGTATTGATCGAGGGAGTCTTGCATCAGGCATTCAGAGGAATAAACACAAATCTGTGAACTTGCAACGGCGATTGAGGGTATATATATATCAAGTGTTAAATGTGCTCTGCATATAAACTTCTCATCTTCTATAAGAAGCACTGAAATATTTTCATAGTATCATATTCCCCACTTAGAACAATCTCTTCTATAATTTTTCGTCGAGAACGACGAAAAACAACGCAGTCTATAAATAGATCGAGGTCGCTCTTTGTTTAGAGGGTGTTTGTGAAGAATCACGCCCTTTGGTTGGAACAAATAGCACGAATTTCTTCAGAACAAGTCGTGTACATCTTTTTCCCAGAATTCCAAATTACGCAAGCGCACTTGCAGTTTCATCCCACCGTAACTAGTCAGCCCGTGGGCTGACTAAAAAATATCACATGGAATGCTTTTATTTATCGATGTTTAGTGATATCATACAACACAAACATTTATCAATACCGACATTTACATTATCAAGTGATTCTAAATTTCAAGCGCAAGTCTCATTACATCACGCGAGAACTGTCATGGCTGCTGAGGAGAACGACTGGAAAACACGCAGATTTATTTTACTTGGTTTTCGTGTATAAAGGGGTATGATGTTGATAGTGAATAAAAATTCCGTCTTTTTGGAAGTAAGTTGAATGCAAAAACAATTTATTTTGCCTCCAGTCGCCCGTGTCTAAAAATATATTTGCACCATTACAGAGATGCAGTGGAATTGTAGCCCTCTTCTGAAAATATCAAAATAAAAAAAATCGGAGAGGGCTATATTATTGCAGCTACAAAGACGTTAATAAAAGTGTAACGATATAGGGCAGCGAATAATTCAAACTTTTGGTGATTTTGAACATGTAAATGTAAATATAAGGACTGTTTTTAAGTTTAGTGTGAATTATTGGTGTGTAAATCACACAGACTTGCACGTAGGCATATTTTTCATGAAGCGCTAGCGCACTTCATGAAATATGCCTACGTGACAACTGTTCAGCCTCCTTGCAGAGCCCCATTTAAATATAGTTTGTATATACAAACACAACTGAAGAAGAGGCAAATCGGACCATGAAGTCGAGAGTTATAAGGATATCTGACAATTGACCCGCAATCACACTGATACATGGAAATCTGGAAGTCTGTAGAAAATAATTACATGTTCATTACAAGGGTGTAAACAAAGAGGCACATTTTCACCTAGCCGAAAAGTGTCTTACCTTCTGTCGGCTGCTTTGAACAGAAGTAACGGACATTCATTCTTCTATCGCAATGGAAGAGGGATCGGTCGTAAAATTACACGTATAGGACTTTTAATCTTTTTCCATTACATGTAGTTTGAAAGAAGTCGACAAACTACATGTATGAACACGTGTTCTTACTATGGTGCAATTGTAACAAGGGCACCGCAAAGCGGAGCATTCCCTCGCAAAAGAGCATATCAATCCTTACTTGCTTAATTTTTGTTACGCTTCCACTCATCCCCCCCCCCCTCCAAAACACACACACGTCATTATGACTGTTTATATTTGTTATGGTTTTGAAACGCGTTTTATCAATTCATGTAATCCTAAATTCTTTACTATTGGAGCTGTGTACTAGTCGATAGCCAAGCCAAAAATTCACTCATTGACAAGTGTAACGAGCGCATTGGGGTATACGTCATTACAATGAGACAAGGTATCTTAAAGAAATATGGCGGAATACTGGGTAGTTCGATCGAATCAAGTTGTACATTGATGAAAATGTTACATTTTTGAGAGTTCATGTCAGCTTTTAGAATTCATGTCACCTTTCACAGTCAAGCTGTAGCTCTCTAAATCTCGACAGAGCCAATGCGAACTCCTTGGCTTTTATATTTGCTAAATACCGAAAAATAAAAGGTTCCGAACACAGAGGCAGATTTTGAAGTTCATTCAGATTTTCTTTATTTAGTCAACTTAGAGTTTGGGTCTTTGGATTTAAGGTTTGTTATATTAGTATTCTTGTTTATTATATAGCATATATATTAATTTGCCTATATTTCATTTAATAACCACTCCAATACGTATGCTTGACGAGAACGTGTATTGCGTGAGAGTGCAGTCAGTTAAAACTTTTAAATATAGTTTAA